GTGACCCTGAGTCCCCGGGTCACGCCCCGACCCCGGAGCCGGCGAGGCTGCCCCAGGTGCCAGTCTTAAGAACAGCCTGCTGCGTACAAGAGTTGCAGATGGACCCGCTCCCCGGTGCACATCGGATTTGTGTCAGGTACTCTGTAACTGAAGTTTCTCTTTTGACCTGCCGGACACCTCGACGCCAGTATTTTACGCTGTGACACTTTGTTGTCTGTTGGCTCAAGGCGCACACCTGAGTCCGTTTGAACTCTGCAAGTACGGTAACACTCATTCTCCAAAACGTAATTTCCCCCTCCCCCCACAAGAAGGGGACGTTCCAAGCGCTCCCGAATCCCTTCCCGCTCAATTTGGACTGAGGAAGACCTGCCCAGCTCCGCCACGCGCGAATCGCCTCCGCCAGGTGGACATAGAATCCGGACGGCGCCCTCCACGCAATCCTCCCCACACATCTTCCCCGCCCGCCCTCCCGGCACACCCGGGCCCCACACATCCTCCCTGTGCCCCCCTCCCGTCACATCCTCCGCGCGCCCTCCCGGCACACCCTCCCTGCGCATTCTGCCCGCGCCCCCTCCATGCACAGCTTCCCCGCAGATGGCCCCGCGTCCGCGAGCCCGAGTCGCCTCACCGGCAGGTCGGTAATTCCCTTAAACAGGACGCTGGCCGCAGACACTTCCCGCGCAGGGACCGCCACGGGTTGCGCCCGACGCGTGCCGAGAGCTACCGACGAGCGAGTGGACTAGGGCCGCCCGGGGGTCCCCGCCCGCCCGCAGCCCCTCCTCTCCTCCCGGCGCCCCTCCCCTCGCGGCGACCCCGCCCCACCCACGCCTGGTTTCTTGTTCCGCAGCGGGCGGCGGCGGATGACCAGCAGGTTACTCTTGAAACCAGTTGCCCCGCCCACGACACCTCCCTGCGGCTTCCTCCCCGCCGGACAGCAGAGGCGTGGGGGACAGAGGTGACTACCCGAGGTCACCGCTCATGCCAGAGCCCGGGTGTCCGCGGGGCCCACCCCGAGCGCGAGCCGGGGGGCCGGGGGAAAGTGGCAGAGAGGATGAAGATGGGGAGCCCTGGGCCCCGGGGTAGGAGTGGGGCCGCGCAGGCTAGGCGCGGTGCGCTGGCTTTCCCTTTGGGACCGTCCTGGTCCTGGGAGCACCCGGCACCCAGGAAGGCCCGGGAGGAAATGACTCATTCATTCAGAACCACCAGCTGAAGCGGCGGAACTGCCTCCGGGTCTCCTGTCAGCGCTGCCTGTCCCGTCACGTACCCGGACGGGGGTGCGGGGAGTGGGTGCGGGGAGCCCTGTTCTCTGGGGCGGTGGACGGCACTGGCCTGCTATCCCTGGGGGATGAAGGCCTCCTTTTCCTTCCTTTCCAACAGGCTGCACATGAGCCAGAAAACCAAATACCAAAGACTTACCAATTTGTTAAATTACACCTGGTAAATGTGACACCTGGAAACAAGTTGTGTCCAGCCTTCTCTAAACCACACAGGTGAACCCAGCCCAGCCCAGCCCCGGCCAGCTCCGGCGCGGCTCCCTCAGCTAGCAAAGCCAAGGACATCCCGCCCGTCACCGCCCCAGGCCAGCCCAACCCACCAGAGAACTCCAAAGGTTTCCGCAGAACTGGTCGCCCTGCACCAAGTGGTGACACCCACTCAGTCGGGCTCACCCAAACCCCAGAGTGATTCCAAGCTCGGATTCTCCCAAAGAGGAGAGTTTCAGAGATACTCAGTGAGGCTTCCTGCTGCTTCCCACTGGCCAAATCCCTCTCCAGCCCAGGGCTGCCCTACTTCCTGGATGCCTCTCAGAGCAACAGTGGAAACCCTGAAGAAACCCATCAGGAGGTCATGAACCGACTTCATGGGGCAGAGCCAGCATTTGATCCTTAATGAGACAGGATGGAGGGGAAAAGCACCCCTCCTGGCACACGTGATGGGGTGGAGGGGGGGTAAGGTACCTCCGTGTCACACAGGGTATTCTCAGGCCGCCCACCCAAACATTCAGAAGTGCCCCCAGGCACCTGATGGATGTCACCTGCTGACAGGCTGGCGCCCACTGGGCCTTCACCTGCAGGAGTGCTGCATGCAGATGCACAGGAAAGGGCAGCTCCCCCACCCCCCAGTGTCCCCTCTGGGACATCACACACAGAGGTGCATGAGGGCCCAGGGTTATCCAAATGGCTCTGCTTGTGGCCGTTTTCCACAAGCTTTCTGCCCCATTGCTTTCACTCTAAACCATTAACTGGTGTCTGTAGTGAGTTTTCCCTCATGTGAAATTACCCTGGTGCCCTTGGCCGCACTGCGTGCTGGCCAGTGACTTGCTGAACTCATCCCTCAGATGGGAACGATGCCCATTGCTGCAGGGGTCGACAAGGGTCAGATGAGATACAAAAGCCTGTTATGATTTTGTTTTTAATGTATTTATTTTTGGCTGCGTTGGGTCTTCACTGCTGCCCGCGGGCTTTCTCTAGTTGCCGCGAGCCAAGGCAGCTCTTCGTTGTGGTGCACGGGCTCCTCATTGCGGTGGCTTCTCTTGTTGTGGAGCATGGGCTCTAGGCGCGCAGCCTTCAGTAGTTGCGGCACATGCGCTCAGTAGTTGTGGCTTGCGGGCTATAGAGTACAGGCTCAGTAGTTGTGGCGCGCGGGCTTAGTTGCTCCGCGGCATGTGGGATCTTCCTGGACCAGGGCTCGAACCCTTGTCCCTTGCATTGTCAAGCAGATTCTTAACCACTGAGCCACCAGGAAGCTCCTCTGTTGCTCTTTAATGTACAATCTGGGCAATTTTTGAAGATGCTTCCTGGGCTCGAGTTAAGCCCTTTGTAGGGTGCGAAGTACCTCATTCTCTTCCATCATCATATCTGCTCTAATTCCTGACATTTATTTCCACTTTCTTTCCATGGTGCCTTACTTGTTATTGCACTGCTCTGCATTCTCCTCCTTGAAGCTATTCTCTCTTGTCTTTCCTCTCCTCCAGTAACTTCTACTTTGCTTTTCATAGAGCGTGACCTCTGGGCCCATTTCAGGCAGATCTCAGGCTCTGTACTAAATCAGTTAACAGAGGTTAGAATCCCAGCTTTCTCCAGGGGTGCTGGCTTTCCTATGTGTATCTGGGGCTCCCTTCATGGGCAAGTTGGCCACCAAACTGAATATTAGATTTATGAAAGCTGAAAGAATGATTGAGTACAGTGTCAGATATTGTGTCAGGAACCTTGTTGAAACTTATTTTGATTAATCATCATGACAGCCCTTGGATAGGAAGTATCTCCTTTTTATTTATGTATTTATGTATGTATTTAGTGGCCGCACTACATGGCTTGTGGGATGGCCCGTTGGGGCTGGAATCCGTGCCCCCTGCATTGGAAGCGCAGAGTCTTAACCACTGGACAGCCAGGGAAGTCCCAGAAGTATCTCCTTTCGATAAAGGAGCAAACCAAGGCTCAGAGCTAAGCTCTGTGAGCTGGGCTGTGTTGAGCTGAGGTTGCCAGATGCCTGTCAGAAAAACATCACGGCACTGGAAGGGTGTGTGTGAGTGTGCATGCACGCACATACGTGTGAAAGTACTATTTCATTAAACACTTTTTTTGCTGGTTTTAACTGACAATTTATATTTAGTATGATCAAGCTATATTTTTGATCTTTTGGCAAAAGTGCTTTACTTCAGAACAATTAGATGGAATGTGCAAATCTTCTGTTTTCATAACGTTTGTTTTCTATTACCAAGCAGAAAGTTAACTGCACGACTGGCTTTTTCAATAACAGACCCCAGGTGCCCTGCATGGAGCCAAGATCTGGTCACAGGTCCCTGCCCCAAACTCTGTCCTCTCCCTAAAACCACGGGTTTCTGCTACTCTAATATCCTCAAAATGGATCGAAGGACCTTAAGCTACTGATATCTGTTCCTGATGCTTTTTTCTTGGCGGGGGGGGGGGGGGGGGGGGGAGGTGGTTAGGTGGATGGATTGGTGGGGTGAATAGCTACTATGTAATTAGGCACTAGGAATACAGTGATGAAAAAAGGGAGATATGGTCTTTGTTTTCCTGGAACCTAGCAGGGGCCATTCACGTCCTCTGAGCTGTGTAGTTACCCAACCACACGCATCCATTCGTTCAGTTCAGTATATCGTTTAAAGAATTAATTGAAAACGTGTAGATTTTATGTGAGCAAATGCATGATAAGTTTATTCTGGGAAAGAAGCTAAAACATCTCTGAACTTACTTGGCTCTCTGAAAATCTTCCAGCAGAATATTATCATTTTATGAGTGAATTAAATGTACAAAATATAAAACTACATTTTTATGCTAATTACTTACATATAAATAGTAATGAAATTTATAAACTGAGAGAATTGTCTGAGTAGTAAAACATTTTTGTTAAGACTACTAAATTAAATATTTAAATTAAACATATTTTTACTTAATACAAAATAATAAATGTTCACTATTATGGATTTCAGTTTATGCCAAAAATATTTTCAAACATTTAAAACTAGCAAATGCTACAATGTTTTCATACTAAATGTTTAAAATTTCAAGGCATAATAAATTAATCTGTTTCTTAATATAAACTATTGCACAATATTCTGGAATTAATTTTTTTTTTGTAACAGAAAAATTATTCCTACAAAGATTACAGGACCAAATAGTGAAAAAGCTTTTGGGTGAGTTTTTTCCAGTTAAGAGTCTAAACCGTAGATTTCAACAGAAGTAGTGCCAGTAGAGGCTCACACGGCGGGTGGTGACGTCAGCCGAGGGTGGGAAGGAAGTGGCCTGTTCCGAGACCCTGGGACTTCCCAGGCCAGCGAGGCGCAGCGGCGCAAAGCCCACGCGCCTGGCGTCCCAGAGGGATGCAAGAAACAAAACCCAACACTGGCACCATCTACGCAGCAGCGACGTCAGATCTGTTCTAAGATGGATCATTTCGTGAGAATCTATGATAACAAACTGTAACAGGAGCCTTATAACTATAGCTGTTACATAGGTCCTAGCTGCACATCACAGCGGGGTTTATCTGCGCTCCGCGGGCTCTGAGGCAGATGGAGGTGCTACTGGACCCGCAGTGCAAAATAAAGATAAGACTTTAAGGGCAAAGAGACAAAAGATGGCGCGTTTTATAAATTTAAAAATTGAACCTATTAATTTTAACTAAAAGAAAACATGTACCTCTGCACCTATTTATAAGGATTGTTACTGAAGTCTACACAAAAGTCTAGTGCACGGTCCTACCCGCAGCCACAAATCGCACGTCGGAAACATCAGCCTCCAACTTGCAGGCGGCTGGTGATCGCTGAGTCAAGCCTGCAAGTGCCGAGAAGGCTCTGCTGACACAGGAGGGCGGAGCTGAACGCACAGTGGGGCGCGGCCTGGGGAGGGGGGCGGCTCAGCTCCACCGGGCTGTTGCGGCCCCAGGGGATGCTCCGCGGCCCCAGGGGATGCTGCCCGGCCCCCACCGTGCACCACGACACCGCACCCTGCGCACCTGCGTTAACGGTGCCACTCATCTAAAAGGCCAGCTAGCTATCTGACGTGTCAGAAACACCTCGAGCGGCTGCAAAAATTGCAGTGAAAAATGATAATCCTGCGACAGGTGGAGGGAAAACACACTAAAGAAGTCTTGATGACGTCCGGACACTTGCAGCGGCCGGCTCGGGGTGGGGTTCCGTGTAAGGAAAAGGCAAGCTCCGGTGGGCGATTGCTGTTCATCACGTTAAAATCCAGGATGGACAGAGGAGGAGGAACGGGAGACAGAGGGCAGCGAGTGGCCGAGGTCAGCCCCAGCGTGCCGCGGCCGGATCTGAAGTTCTGGGGATGGCGGGGCGGCACCCGGGCAGTGACACCTCGGCGACCCAGAACATGGGCAGAGGCAGGTCTGCTCAGCCAAACGGTGATTCTTCCCGGTTACAGGGGCTTTACCAAGCCTACCTGGTCTTCCACTAATTTTGAACTGTTAAAAATTTCCTCAGATTAAGAGGGTCTTGCTGCTAATTTAAACACGTGGATTATATAGCACTGCAATGATTTATTTCCCAGTAGAAAGTGTATCACCTTAATGTCCAACGACAGTTCCTTGACCAGATCAGATATTTTGGTGGTGGTGAGGTAAATTCTATCTACTTAAGACCATGCAGAAAAAAATACTAAAAACCCTCAGAGACCCTGTGCAGGTGGGTCTCTGTGCCCGGGGCATCTGTATTTATTTATTTATTTATTTATTTATCTATTTTTATTTTTTTAACATCTTTATTGGAGTATAATTGCTTTACAATGGTGTGTTAGTTTCTGCTGTATAACAAAGTGAATCAGTTATACATATACATATATCCCCATATCTCTTCCCTCTTGCGTCTCCCTCCCACCCACCCTCCCTATCCCACCCCTCTAGGTGGTCACAAAGCACCGAGCTGATCTCCCTGTGCCATGCGGCTGCTTCCAGCTAGCTATCTATTTTACGTTTGGTAGTGTATATAGGGGCACCTGTATTTAAATTAGAGGCCTCTCCTGGCCTCTCACTTCTTTACCATTATTTAAACCCACATTTCTCATGTAGTATCTAATAAAATGTATGCCTCTGAAGTAAACTGAAATATGCTTTATCTTGTGTGATATGTATAAAAGAATAATTCTGTCGTAATAATGTAAGTGGTCCTTCTTTTGCTGTCCCCAAACTGTGTTTCTAGAAGTCTGACTTTTTTTTTTTTTTTTTTTTTTTGGCCCCTCTGCGCAGCATGCAGGATCTTAGTTCCCTGACCAGGGATGGAACTCGTGCCCCCTGCAATGGAAGCGCGGAGTCTTAACCACTGGACTTCCAGGGAAGTCCTAGAACTCTGACTTTTTAAAGACATAGATGTCACCAGCTTTTGTAGTTAGAACACGGGTGGTTTGGAGAGGGACCTCACAGGCTTCTGAGATGCATCATCTTCAGACTGAAGAACTATGTCCATCAATTGTTTTTGTGTCTGAGACACTTGTTATACTTGGTTGCAGGTCAGTTTCTCTATAAATACTCACTTGGAGGAGAAGACTCTGTAATAAAGGACAAGTGCATTAGTTGTTCAATTTAATAAAAGAGGCTAATTTTAAAAGAATTACTCTCAAAAATTCCTTAAAAATCAGTAAAAGTTTGTATGACTTAAAATGGCATCATGATGACAATGGACAGAGGGTATCATTAAGACACTGGCCAGGCCAGTGTGGTGCCCACCGGCCTGGAAGACGGGCAGAGCTCATGTTTACAAAACATCACATAAAACACTTGAGTTTCTTGAAGAGACACAACACAGCTCCTTCCTCCTTAATCAGAGAAATGAAGCCTCGGAGTGAAAGTAAGTTTCCTAAAGGCAAATGGTCAATAAGTTCTAAAGCTACAGAAACTATCATATTCGATAGACCTTAAGATGGACACGGCCCAAAATAAGACTAATTGTCCCTGTGACAGTGATTGTTAAAAATCAAACTAATAAACTTTTTTGAACACCTAATTTCAGGGAAATGTCTAAGCTATTCAAAGTTTAATGACAAAGTTTAAGAAATGCTGATAATGGAACAAATTCAAGCTTGAACTGTGAGTTCTTTTCAAGAACTGGGGCTTTATCTGAAGCTGCCTCAGAGAGGACCAAGCATTGCAGGGATCAGAATCTTTTGGACCCAGGAGACTAAAACTGATATCATGTGCATGGTACAACACATAAAGCATCAGAATTTTTGACAACTAAAAGAAAATGTAAAGCCACAGAAATAATGACTTTTGCTATTCATCTGAATAGAGAGGAAAGAAGCACAATATATATTATCCTCATGTGTAACTGTAACCTCAATAACTCTGTAGGTTTTTTACGCGGTTTTTAGATCACTCATTATGATATAGGTAATGAGACAAGGAGTCTCAGGGACCGTGCACTTCACCTGGGCCTTCCTTGGCACCTTCCGGAGCCTCTGGGTCTGGGGGTGGCTCGGCGTCCCACGGAGACTGGGACGGAGACGAAGCAGAGGCCCTGGATGTCTGCGGGGTCCTCTTGTCTGGGTCTGCTTGCTGCTGTAACCACTCAGCGTTATATCCATTGCTAATAAGTTTGGAAAAGTTTGTGGGTGAACTGGTTTTTTGACCAGGCCTCAAAAAGAGAAAAATTAAGTACTTAAGTACAAAGGTGAAGGGTAATCCAGAAGCATTCTCAGCGAACATACTGATGGTAAATTAGATGCGTTACTGTCCCTGAAGACAACAGAGATGCTTCTCCCTCTCTCCCTCTATCTCTCTTTCTCAATCTCTCTCCACTTTTAAGCATAAGGAAGTAATCTCCAAGCATCCTTGTACACAGTGAGCACATACTTAGTTCAGTTTCCAAAACCTTTCTTCAGAACAGCCAATGAGAAGAAGAATTCCAGCATTTCCCAGGGACGCCTTCTTCGGAAAAAACCGCCCCTTCCCTGGGGAGGAATGAGTGACTCAGACTCTACCACTTTCAAACAAATTGTTACTTTCTTAATTAGTTCTTCCCTGTTCACATTAAAGATTATCTGCTGCTTCTTTACACACTTCTGTCTTCCCTCTGTCATTTACATCTTTGCAGACCTTATCATAACCTCCATTAGGAGAGGCGGGGAGATTGGATGTAAAACAGGTGATGCATATCACCTGTGCCCTCCGACCCTCGGGTTTCTTACTTGTAAATCACTCTGTTGTCAAGAGTCTTCCTAATGGCTCTGGCGGGCTCTCTCTCTCTCTCTCTCTCTCTCTCTATATATATATATATATATATATATATAGATAGATAGATAGATAAATAGATAGATAGATAGATAGATATATAGACAGAAAGATAGGTAGATATAGAAATATAGATGGATATAGATAGACAGAAAGACATAGAGGTATACAGATATAGATACATAGATAGATAGATAGGTAGATGGATGATATAGATGGATATAATTTTTTTGCCCTCGCAGTCTGAGTGTGGTGCTTTCATGGCATTTGTCACACAATGTAACTGATGATTGCTCCTCCCCCAGCCCCACTAGAGGAGAAGCAATTGTAAGAAGTAGTCAGACAATTGACGGCATTAATTCTAGCACTACAGTGGGATTCTGGGGAAGGGAAGAGAAACAGAAGGCCTCAGGGACCCCCGCTCCAGCTGGGCGAGTAATGAAGTGTCAGGGCGCCTGACAGATGTTCCAGCTGAATGCAGAGCCAAGGACTCACTAGGTGCAGACACCAGGGTCCAGGCCTTGGGGACAGAGAATGTCAGGACTGAGTAGCACACACATGTGGCCCCAAGTTTATAGGGCGAGCTTGGGTGACACAGGCTGACAGAGGAGAGAGCTCAGCTCAGCGCTCAGGACGGGGGAGGATGAGGTCCACAGGGGCCCGGGAGGCATCCAGAGGGAAGGGAAAATGGAAGAGGAGGCCAGTAGACAGGGCCAGGCCATGGGAAGTTATGCCATTGAAGTCACATCACCACAACCTGCTGCCGGGAAGCGAATACTGTTAGGCCGGCATCAGCATCGTGTATTGGAGCCATGGTTGTCACTGTTGTCACTTGGACCAAAGACCAAACACAAACCGAATCCAGACCACGCTGGCGCAGCCCGTGCACTTACATGGGGGGAAAGAACAGTTTGCTTCCTGCAGGGTCTTTGGGGCCAAGCGGGGTCCCGGCTTTGCTCGGATACTTGGACTTGATGGCTGGTAGCCTCACCTGTACAGAGAGACACACGAAACCCTGACTTAGAAGGGTTTGCTCCCTGCACTTTCTCAGCCCCTGCATGGCTCTGTCAATGGTTTGGCGGCAGTACAGCGTCCAGCCTTTTATAGGGCACGGGCACCGTGACCCTGGTTAGCATCCGAAGCCTCTGTTTATTGCTGGGAAGTGTCGCCAGGAGCAACCCGTTCACTGAACATGCCAACCCCCCAGAGCCAGGCTCAGGGCTGGGACAGGGTGTCTTGAGGACAGACAGCCGGCCTGCTGCACACAGCTGACACTGCACAGTGCTCAACTCTGCGAGCCCCGGAATAAACTTCCAGGGTTTCTCTTTCCAAGCAGACACTGCAAAGCGGGCTGGGGTCAGGCAAGGAACCTGCCAGCCAGCGAGGCCACTCCCCTGTTGTGCGGGGGGGGGGGGGG